TAAACTTTTTTCACTCAGCAGCTATACTTCAAAGCATACAGTATTGCAACATTGAGAAGAGTAGACAATGCAGCTTTAGAGGGATACAGGTGTCATGTGACATTTCAGCTCCCATGAAGGAGTCAAAGAAGTCACAGATCAATCAATTCTTGTGTGTGAATCACGCAAGTCTTCAGTAGAGCACGAAAACATATTGCATTTTTTACATCACACCACTGTTACAATAGTGAATAATAATTGCCTGATCTGAATGGGGAGAGCCTGCAGCAGATGGTGAAAGTTAATTCTAAACCTAAACCAATACAGACTTAATGATCAAAGGAGAAAGCATGAGATATCCAGGGTTCAATGAATGAAACCTTAACAAATGGCACAGTTTGTATTAAATGCCCTATGCCAACACTTTTTTCAAGCTAATAACTTTGACAGGTGGAACATAATCCATATAATTCAAAGAAGGCAAGACTGACAAAGCGTACTCATACAACATTGCCCAGATTAGTAAGATTTTTAACTGTGCTTTCAGTATGATGTATGAAACAAACTACACAATTGAGATATAATGCGTGGGATCTGAAAAGTATTTGAGCTGAATTGAAAACATAACTTGCATGTCCCACATGTACAAACTCATTTAATCTAAATTACCGAGCAAAAATGTATAGTTGTTCTGAAGATCTACCGGAGTAGTCAAAACATTGAAATTGGGCACCCATGTTGCATCTCGTGAGAGGTGATTAATGGAATGTTAAGAAGTTAAAAGGTTAGCATATTTGGCACGTTTCTTCACACTTATGGGATTTGTGGTGATTTGCTTTCAACACTGCAATGAAATGTTGATTGATAAATTTAATGTTTTTCTGGCACTTCTGGAGAGTTTAGAAAGCAATTTTCACAAAAGACAAGCATGCATTATTACTGTCTAACAGGAGTGAGATGTATTAAACATAAGCAATCAGACTTGCGGTTTTTAATAAGAAGTTGAAAATATCACTTTTTACTAAAAATGACAAAAATATTCATCAAAATTAGAGAATTAAAGGTATCATCACGAAAAGAACATATCTGAGAGAGGTCCACATGTAGTACCTAGATATGTAATATCAAAGCAATCAGACTGGCGTTTTTTAACAAGAAGTCAAAAATATTCACCAAAAATAGAGAATTAGAGATTTTGACATGAAATGAACAAATCTAGGAAAGAACCATCCAAGGTACTTGCATATCAAATTTGAAAACATTCTGACTTGCGGTTTTGAAAAAGAAATTGAAATTGTAAAGTTGACGACGATGGACAATCAGTAATATGAACAGCTTCGCTGTTACGACTTTGTCGACAGCAAAGCTAAATATCATTTTTGACTAAAAATCACAAAAATATTCAGCAAAAATCAAAAATTTTAGATTTTGAGATTTAAGATTTAAGAGATCCAGCCAAGGTGCCTATATACCAAATTAGAAATCATTTGGAATTGCGGTTTCGAAGAAGAAGTCCAAAATATCAATTTTGACCCAAAATCACAAAAAATATTCAGCTAAAATATAAAATTTTGACACGAAATGAACAAATTTGAGAGAAATCCACCCAAGATGCCTATATACCAAATTAAAAAGCATTCAGAGTTGCGGTTTCGAAGAAGAAGTCAAAAATATCAATTTTGACCAAAAATCACAAAAATATTCAGCAAAATTCCAACATTTGAGATTTTGACACAAAATAAACAAATCTGAGAAAGAACCACCCAAGGTACTTGCATATCAAATTTGAAAGCATTCTGAGTTGCAGTGTTGAAGGAGAAGTCAAAATATCAATTTTGACCGAAAATGACAAAAATATTTACCAAAAATAGAGAATTTTAGATTTTGACAAGAAATGAATAAATCTGAGAAAGAACCATCCAAGGTACTTGCATATCAAATTTGAAAACATTCTGACTTGCGTTTTTGAAGAAGAAGTTGAAATTGTAAAGTTGACGACGACGGACAATCAGTAATATGAACATATCAGTAATATAAAAACAAGATAGATGCCAATCAGCCATTTTTGATCTGATTATGAAACAAACTGACATGAACATGTATTCCAATATGTATGATGTAGTGCCAAATATGAATAAAAATGCTCCCTAAGCCTTGGAGATTTAATAGTATGGTCAAAAAGCAAAATGGCTGCCAGTTTGCCATCTTTGACCCGATTGTAAAACAAATTGTCATGCACTGTTATCTAAAATGTACAATGTATACAACAAATTTGAATGAAAATTACAAACCATGTCCATGATACAACATTTCCAAAAAACAAGATGGCTACCAGTTGACCATCTTTGATACGATCACGAAAAAAATTGTCATAGACATGTATGTTAACAACATGTATCATTATACATAATACGTATAATGTATGTACCAAAATTTTAACAAAAACTGATAAGGCATGCATAAGATACCACCTTTTCAAAAAACAAAATGGCTGCCAGTAAGCCATCTTGGAGTGAATCATTAAACCACTGCATATGCACATGCATAGAATGAACAGATTTGGTCCTCATGGTTCTGAACTCCGAACAGATAGACAAACATACAGAGACAGATGGTGACCAAATTCGTTCAAACGGGGACTAATACAGATTGTCAGACAACTACATTTTTACGTGGCCATACAGCTTTTTCAGTGTAGTTGTGTTCTAGAGTGTGGTCATCAATGTGCAAGTTGGTCTAGTGGGCAGGCATAAATGGGTGTGGTCCAGAGTAGGGAGGGATCAATGGGCGAGTGGGTCTAGTAGGCCGGCATAGAAAGGTGTGGTTCCAAGTAGGCATGCATAAATGGGTAAATAGGTAGGCATTACCGTTAAAGTCCTAATATAAACCGCATACGTAATAGTAACCGCACCCCCAATTCCGGCTTCGGGGTTAAAGAGTTCTTAACAAAAATTGAAAACTTGAAAAGTACCTATTACTAACCGCACCCCCAATTCAACAAGACCGTGACTGACTTCATTGTTTCAACCAGCTGTTCCAAAACGGCATTGTTCCTAAATCCTATTCATTTGTTTCGACAACATGCCTAAAAATATTCACACCTATTTATTGTTCAGCGGTGATAAGATGTCAGACAGGCAATGAAACTGCTTTTGTTCTGGCGGCGACCTCTGTCAATACTCTTTCTGAATACGTCTGTGTTTCGTAAGTTTTAGACAATGAGCTTTTATCACCGTAAAAGTGTTAAACTGAGCATTGAAGAATAATTTATCTTTCGAAAACAAATAATTTCTTGATTTAAAAAAAAAATCATGCCGTTTTCCCATGGAAATCAAAGGCAAAAGATCGCA